TGTGCTGCAGGGCAGGGAGAAAAGATGGGAGAGGAGCTTATGGTCTGCTCTTGCTTGATGCTTCTTTCAGTCTTTATTACTGCTTTTGGTTCTTCTTTACACTTCTTCCTTTAATTTTTCTTTGAAGAAATGTGTTACTTTGTTTTCCCTTCATATGCTTTTACCTTCATTTCCTTAGCTACACTGCTCCTATGTGCTATTTTTTCCAGTGCTAACCTTGAGGAAAGGAAGCTCTCTATTCATTAAGAGCCGAACAGTGGTGGAAGGAAACATGTGCAAGAGTACACAAAATAGTGCTAAGTCCTGTTCCTTAAAGATGCTGAAGAAAATCAGGTTGGTGAGAGACATCTAAGAAGTGCAGAACAGTGTGTTGGCAGCCGTGCTCTGAGGAAAAAAGTGTCTTTCAGGAAATGGTGAATAACCTCTAAGCATAGTGATGTAACTGGGAAAAGGAAAGAGTGTGTAACAGAACAAGCAGAAAACAATAGAAATTGTTGCTGCCAAGGCTGGGGTTTCCTGCATCTTTGAGGATTTTCTGTAAAATCGTGGTTTTGAGCTGCTTGAGATATCTACACTGAACTTGGAAGCTAATAGCTAAGAAATCTGTGTCTGGCTGGGAGTTGTGTTTCAGAGTCACACTGTATAGCTTCAGTGGGGTGTGCAGGGGTGGGGAGGGACGCTCAGTGGGTGCCCTCTTCCATCTTTCAAGCAGATATAATTTCCCAGCAATTCTTGAGGAGTGCCAGCCTATGGACAGAGTGAAGCTGACAATTTTTTAAAACATAATATAGATCTACTAGTATCTGATATGGTGCTGATAGCCAGGTAAAGTTTACTAAAATTTACTAAGCCAGGCTACTCTTCCCCCTGTCTTATACTTGTAATAAACTAGGAAGGTACCAGTCCCATTTGAATCTGTTTGCTCTAATATCATTAGCATGCTTCTGTGGTTCTAGGTTGCAGGGACATGATGGTGAACCTGAGGTTCACAGGACTTTTAATGCTATGATCTTATGACAAACAAATTCCATTACCCGTTCATATATTTGTATTTCAGGATTGGGCCTTCTCCATCAAGCCTGAAGCACATACATTTATGATTAGAGGTATATGTACATGCCATTAAAACGGTGCTACTCCTTTGTGTCCTTTTTAACAAGTGAAAATAAATACTTTGAAAATATTTTCACTTTGCATACTGAATAATCAAACTAGACGCATTTAAATGCCTTCTTTTAGACTAACAATAAGATTTAATATCCTGATTAGTTAGTTCCAACTTCATCCTTCTTGCAGATAGTGCCAAGCAATGTGAACCTACTGACTTCTATGTAAAAATGATTTTAATATTAAACAGATCTGGAAACTAGAGAGCTCTGATTAATTTTAAATTGTTCCTAGCTTGATTCTATTTACATTTGCTCTGAATGATTCTTCTCTGAAAGTGTCCTTGCTGGACTTGGTTAGTACTTCTGTTATGTTACAATCTGTATTAATTATCTTCTAATTAGTGAAAAGCTTCTCTGATACATGACCTAAACCACTAATTAATTTTTTCAGGTTTTGTTTTGTTTTTTATTAATGGAATTTTATCTGCTGCTAGACTGTGTGGAAAAAGAAAAGTTATTTTTATAGCAGAAGCAGTTAATAGGCATAGATAGTCTAGGCTTTCCTATCCAACCTGACTAGATCTGTTTGTCTTTAAGCTGTATTTCAAAGCTTGCATTGTAGAGTGAGCCCTCAAAAAAGGAGTGGTGTTTGTTTGATATCTGAGATGGAGCACTCATCATTATGGTAATAGACTTGTGATTAACTCAGTTTTCAAAAATGTTGTACAAAACTTTAAAAAAAAGAGGAAAGAAAACAAACATGAAAAGAAAGACTCCTTTTAAGTTTGGGACACCTGCTTTGCTTAGGTAAGTTGTGCAACCTGTAAAGTCAGAGAGAAGGTAACTTAATCAGATAAAATGCTTTAGAAGTAAAGCTTAATTGCTGTGTTTTGTCCTATTCGAAGCTTTGAAAGGAGGTCATGAATGGGATTTAAAATTACTACTTTTTCTGTTAAACCTGGTGTTGGTCTGGACTTAATAGTGCTGGTTAGACAATCTAAAAAAAAAAAAAAAGGTTATTTAGCCTTTTCCTAGTTGAAGATGGCAAAATACTTATTTTTAAGTTTTCTTGAAATAAGTCTGAGGAAACAAAGATTTACAGCATGTGAAAAAGTATGATTCAGTGTTTATCAAGTTATGTTTTATTAATAGTAACAATTCTGTAAACAGATGTTTTAGTGCTTACTTAAAATGAAACAAAATTGTCCTTGTATGGAGTAGGGGCAAAAGGATTTAAGGTCACAAATAATGTAATTGAGGGGGTTTTCTTCTTAGGAAAAAAAATTATGTGTGCCTGCCACACAAGTCACAGTAGTTGGATGTGCACGTGCTGCTTGCCTTCTGGAAGCATTAAATTCTCTGCTAAAAATCATATCCCACTATAGGCATTTTTTCAGCCTCTGGTGTCTGGACTGAAAAGTACAGGGATATTGTTATTTTTGAGTACCCCACAGGTCTTACAAGCCTCATATTAATTCAAACTTCAGTGTCATTCAGGAGGAATATGGGAAGTGTATTTTTTGTGAGAATAAGGTGCTGCATTTGATTGCCAGGCCATAGATTTCCTGAGCTCAGGCTCAGGGTTGGGGTGGGTGTTAACATTCAGTGGATCGTGTGAAAGATGGTCACAGAGCTGGGGTTTCTTTCCTGAATAAAGGAAGTCTCTGATGATAGAAGCAGCTCAGTCTTATTCTCCCTATAAATTATATTCTATCTGTAGAATGGCTTCATCTTGTGGAGTGTTTTTGGGAGTGGTTGCCTGTTTGAGTAATGCTCTCAGTATGAGAAAGGGAGAGCATGAGCTAAATGCCTGTTAGAGAGCAGTAACTTACATGGCTTCTCCTTGGGAGAGTCCTTGTTCCAAGGAGATGTGGCCTCCCAGATTCTGCACACTGAGGTATTACTTAGGGAGGGGGGGCAGGTTGGTTTTGTGGTTTGTTGTTTTCATCTTGTTCTTTAAACTTAAGAATGGTTGTTTGACCCCAATTCTAAGTGTGTTAATTTTAAATTTTGGGTAACTTGTTGTTAAACTTGATTGTTTTAAGACTACAGTGAATCATTCCACTGTATTTTCAGCTATAAATCCAAATACACCTTTAATATGGCAATGTAGCTGAATATTAAAAAAAATGATAAACTTGTTTATTCCAAATAAACCACAGTATTAAGAAATAAAGAAGGAATGCTTTCTGTTTCTGGTTTAAGGCACTCACTTTTGTTTTACAAGTAAATGAAATGGTGCCATGCTTGCAGCTCTTCAACGAAGCATTAGATTAGAAAATAACTGATAGGTATTGTGAGACAAGGATATTGCTGTTATTCTCAGGAAAAGGTAGAAGTGAGTAATTTAGCAAATGCTAGTAGCACAAGCACCATATTACTAAATTCACCACAGGATATAATGAAATTTTTGTCAAATGCAACTGCAGAAGTAATGCCTTTTGTTTCCTGTTGACATTATGATGTCTTCTATCAGTATTAACCATTATGTCTCCTATTGGTACTAACCTTATGCTATCAGGTCAGTCTTGCTCACTTGTTCATTAGATCACATTTTTGATTTAGACTTTTAATGTATCTTTAAAAAACTTGAGGAAGATGTTATTCTGGAAGTAGTTGGGTTTTTTCCAGGCTGTTGTTACCATATCAAGGAAATGAATTAAGAGCATGAATGCCACATTATTCAAAAATTAATTTATGACTCCTCAAAACAAGCAGTGAAGAAAGGCTTTGACTGATGAAGCAATTAATTTAAATTCTTATTAAAGTAAATATGTTGGTAACATAATTTAGGGGCTTTGATGTAACACAGTTTTTAATTGATTTGCAGTGGTCATAGGCTTTCGTGTACTGGATGTACCTCAACTTGTACTTTATAGTTTCATGCATTCTTCTCATCCCCCTCCTATTTTAGGGGAAATATTTGGTGTATTGAAGCTGTAGGGTTTACTGTCAGGGAGTTTTCCAAGTTGAATAGACATGTGCTTTCTTTTCCTGCCAGTTTGAGTTGTTGTCTTCCAACTCTGTTCAGTCATCTACCATTAGCTTTTACTTGCTGTCTCTCTCCTGCCTGTTCTAGGCTTTGTGGAGTAAATGGCACAAGTCTTACACTCATAACTTTGGAGCACTTTAGACTACCTTGTGCAATAATACACACAATTGTTTTGATTCTTCATTGTTAGTTCTTGCTTCAAAATATCAGCAAACCCTGTCATTTGTACTCTTTAAATATAGGACTTGTCGTGGCATGACTGATGTTGCAGGCAGTTGGTGAAATTATTTGTATTTTACTCCCTGAATATTAATGGCTTCAGGAAAGTAGTTGTGAGGCAGTTTTCTGACCTGCAGTTGTCCTGGTGTGGGAGGAATATGTGCAAATCTTGGTAGTCAGCTTAGCCACGGAAATGTGAGGATATGCTTCACAGCACTTCCAGACTTACACAGTCAGGTAACTTTGAAATGTGTTGGCTCTCCATATAATAAGCTAAAAAAGTATTTAGTTGTTTATTACCTCCTAATTTAGGTTTAAATTAAATTTTTTTGGAAGAATAATTTGATCCTGCCATGCAACTCATTTAAATATTATTGCTATGTTGCTATTTGCTAGAGAATCTGAAAATGAGACCGCTTAGATAATTTTAATCATATAAAACAGAAAATGTAAGTGTGAAAAGATAATTGGATGAAATAATTTGCTCATTTTAAGATGATTTATTTTACCTGTCAGTGTCTCTTTATAAATGCTCCAGATGGTTGAAATATATTATTACATCTCATTCTCAGTTTCAGTCTTTTGAAGTATAAACACTACTTCTGAAGAGGAGCAAATCAAAACAACTATGATGAGACTTGTTCTTTGTAATGACTGCATTTTTTTTATTTTATTTGAAGGTCATTCTGTGAGACTCCTGGGTCAGAAAAAGGATAATGGAAAACGTTTGGGGGGAGCACGACTGGACTTGCCAAAGATTAGGAAGAATCCACTGATAGAAATAATTTCCATCAATACAGGGTAAGAATCTCCGAAACTTACAAAACATTCAGTACTGCAGAAGAATTCCTTTTATCTCTTTCTGCATGTCTCGTGTACCACTCCTCAGCTACACAGAAGGAGGCAGGATGACCACTTTAAAATAGTTTAAGATGTTAAATTACATTTGTTTCGGAAAATAAATCCCTGCTTATTTGGTTACAAAAAGAAAAGAGCATTTATAAGTTTTTTTCCCTCTGTGATTTTTTCATTTCTAAGATGGTAGCTCCAGAATAGTTTTAGTAACTCATTATTATCTGTAAACACTGTTAACATCTGTCTGATGTGATTGTCAGTCCAGAGTTATTAATGGATAAATTAGATATAGTTACTTCTGTCTTTCTCCTCTAACCTGTTTGTAAAGAGTCATCATGTATATATTTCATTCTTCTATTCATTTGAACAAGCTACTCTCTGCTGTCAATCAATTCTGGATGCCCATTTCCCCATAAAACTACAAGCATTTTTCTGTTCTGTACTCGTACTTTGAGGAATTCTATTTTAATCTTCCTTCCCTTGCTGTTTTCCTTTTATCAATGCCAGTTGGTATCCTTCCATTTTGTCAATTTATTAAAAAAAAAAAAAAGAAACAGACCAGCAACAACAAAAATCACGCAAGTCCTCTTCTGATTTTCCCATCTTTTCCAACTAATGTAGTAAATTCCCTGGTGGTTGAATTTAAAATGCATTGCTCTGGGCATCCCAGGTAGGTGTGAACTTACTGCATAGAATGAAAAAAAAAACGTTTCTCAGGTCTGAGTTTAGATTAGCATGCAACTCCTCATTGCATAGAGGAGTTTTGATCCTATCTTCTTCTTCCTTCCTTGTCTTTTAGTAATGTGGCCTTCATAACTGCTGTGAAACTTGGTGTGCTGTTTATGTCAGAATACATTTCAAGTTTTAGTGTGGTTATTTTTTCTTCCTCTGACTTTTGGTAAATATATGTGTGACATTTTGTCATATTGCTGAATCATAATACCTTTTTAAACTGCATTTTTGTTCATGGATTGGTTTTGAAGTGTGGATATAAGCTCTTCTGTGTAGTTACTTTAAGTGTTCTAAATTCTTTACCTTATTTTCTTTCCAGTGAACATCTTGTTTTTACACATCAAAATCCGCTTCATGATTAAAACCATTTTTTTACATTTGTTGCGTCTGACTTTCAGATGGTAAAAATTTTCCTTTTACATTAATATTTATCACGGTGTAATGTTATAATATCTTTCTGGTTGTAAATTTTGTCAAGGTTGTAAGCTAATTGAGCTATGGTGTTGTTCATGTCTTTTGATGGATAGTAATGAATTTAAGATAGGAAAATTAGAAATACTGTTATTTCAAATATCAGATTATTACTAGTTTAATTACAGAGGTTAATACAAGGGTTCCGTAGGGTATGTACACTTAGCATTAGGGGACTGATGAGGGTCGCAACCATTTGAAACTTTTTTTTATATTTTGAACAGATGTATTTTTTTACTGTCTGAAAAAACATATTGATCAAGCTGCAGACTGTTAACATCTCCTAAGAAGTTACTCTCAGAAACCCTTTCCTTTAGAACCTGATAGTTTACAAACAAAAATTACATTGCATAGTAGTTCTTGCTGTTCTCAGGTCAATTAAATACCTACTTTCCACCATAAGACAATATAAAAAAATACTGGAAACTACAAAAAGCATATCTGTTTCATGGAGAAGAGAGGCAAATATGAATTGATAACACCAAAGCATTCTTAAAGCCTCAAACAAACAAGTTAGTTGTATAAGGCACCTAAATTAACTACTATCTCAATCTGTGTTATATTGTCTGCTTTCCTCTACTGAAATACAGATGCTTGGGTTTTCCTGTTCTCCTCTTCCCCTTCCCCTTTCCCAGCCTCCCCAGCTGTGTGTCGTAGGTGACTTTTTTGTGTGTTTGTCTGGGTTTGAAAAGCAAAGCATAGCTTTAAAAGGCAGCAGTGCGCAGCAGTTTCTGAAAATATAAAAATATAATGAACCAAGAACAAGACCCAGACTGTATTACTCACTGTGATTTGACTGTGCTAATTTTATCAGCTTTGCAATAGTAGTCTGCTTATGTAAATTTTAGTAGCAACACCACATTGGACCTGAGTTTTCTCTGTGTAGAGACTTGAGAAAACTTTGAAGACTGTTTTTTGGTACCGTGATCCTTATTAAGAGGTGAGGTTGGATCAGACTAGGTGGTCTTAAAATAGTGAAAAATACTTTGTTAAAAAGAGCGGTTTCCTCTTTTTTAATATTTTTGTCTGATACTGTTAAATGGTAGCACTTGGGAGCAGCATGAGCAGGGCTTCTCCGCGAGGGAGAAGACTGGATGTGAGGGTGCCACCAAGCACAGGCAGGACACCTGGTGCCATGTGGCCTGAGCAGTGTGACAGAGCTGGGGGCTGGTAGCAGGAACCATGAGCAGTCCCAGACATGGAAAATTCCATAAACACAGAATATGCTGTGTTGGAAGGGACACACAAGGATCATAGAGTCCAAGTCTTCGCCCTGCACAGGACAGCCCTAAGAGTCAGAGCATATTCCTAGTGATGAAATGATCACCCACAGCCTGGATCTGAAGAGTACAAATAACACAGGTCTGAGGAGATGAGTGCAGGACTGGAGGCAGGCATGGTACTTAAGCCAGGTCTGGGGACAGCAGCCTGAGCTTCACTGGGGCTCCTGGTGCAGAATGGGCTGTGGAGGCAGCAGCTGAGGCTGGGCAGGTCAGCAAGGGCCTGGGGGTGCCCATGGGGCTGTGACAGGTGGTGCTGAATTACCATTTCCAGCTGGGGTTTTAATGAAACCTTGGCCTCTTCTGTAATTCTGTGAGGGAAGAAAAGGCTTATTGGAGCATGTATATTCCCTCCTCCCCAAAGCACTGGTGTCTTCAATGGCTCAGGTTAACCCCTTTTCTTCTCTAGTAGGATGAAATCCTCTATGTACGTGGGCATCTGCCAGCTGGAACTATTCTTCTGAGGGTTCAGAAGGACCACTTAATTTTTGGGAGTCTCTAAAAATGCTGATTGTTCAGACATCTCTCATCTGTGTCTTTGTTTCTTAACTCAAGATGGTGTCAAATTTGGTAATTTTGACTTGAGATTTCTTTTATTGATTCCTTCTTCTCTCAGAAATGGAGGGAATAAAATTTCCTGAACCAAGGATTCCTGTCCTTGTATAGTAGCTGTGAACTTTTTCTGTATTTGTCCAAGCACAATTGCATGCCTACATATGCACATGTCCCTCTGTGTTTGTATTGGTCAGACTGCTGCTGTACATGAGTGTCCTCAGCTGTTTGCATAAATCATATCTGTCATATCACGGGACAGACATATTGTCCACTACACTGTGCAGTCTGTAATAATTATAATTAAAAATAAACAAAAACAAAACCCCACTAGGTATGGAGTATCTGTGAAGATCAGGTACTGCCAGCTCAGAGGTTTTACACAGTGACATGTTTATCCTTTAAAAGGTGTTGCTCTGCCTTTGCAGGGACCCGTGTCTTTTTCAGTGTTTGGCACATTTTACATTTAATTCTTTTTTTAAAGTAATGGACAGTTTTTTCCTACTGGTAATTTTGATTGTCCTGAGGGTTGTTGTTTTCTCATTGAGAAATCCAACCTATTTGCTTAATTTACCATGGCAGTTGGTGGTTTCTGTCAACAGACTGTGACTCTAGAGAAAAGCTCCCATCCCAGGAGTGACATGTTTCAGAGTTTCCAAGTATGTTTGCAGAGACTAATGGCGAGTTACCGGAATGGAGGCACAGGAGATTTACCAGACTTCTCTGACACACAGAGATATGTTAGTGACTCTTCATTTTTCCATCTGCAGATATGTAAGAAGTCCTTACCATCCCAGTATCCCATACAAGCTACAGATTGGCCTCGGTAATTTCTCTGTAAGAAATAAGTGACCTTTCCTTCCTGTATGGCTTGCTTTCTCTGTTATTGTTTAGAAAACACTGCAATATTTTTCAAATCAATTTTTTTCTATAAAATAGGCAGTCAAAAACCAGGGATTGTCACAGTGCCCAGATAGCTGTCTTAATCTTAGTATATCCTGCAGTGATATTAGTAGATCTGAACCAAGAAACAGAGATTTGTTCCTGTACTCTAAAATAATTCTCTGCTTTGAATTAAGGCATTTGGTTCAGTCTCTTCAACTTTTATTTATGTCATAAGCATGTATTGTACAGGTCATCATCTTACTGGAACAAGCCAGGTTATAGTAGTAGAAAAGCATGTTAAATGCTGTTTGGAGAAATGGCATAAATTTTTAAACTAATCTGCTAATGTGATTATTCTGTTACTTTGAAGTAAGAAAGAGAAATGTTCTCAAATTCATTTTGTATTAGATTCATTTAGTCTAAGGAAAAATCTTTTTCTCCCTGTGGTCTCATCTTCATAAGTGCCAGTTTCATAACCCATGTAGCCACCTATACAAGTCTCTTTAATGGATTGAGACTTGGTTTTCCGCATATTAATTAATTCTGTATCTGCTTTGTAGCTTGGACTATTACTCATCTATCTTTGTTGTTGGTATGACTTGAACTCCCTTATTAACAGTCGCACACGTAAAATATTACTTTATTTGTGCTTTTTCTGGATGCCCTGAGAAGCATGAGAAGAGCGTAATATCACCTGAAAATGACCCCACACTAGAATTTACTGATGAGTGGGTTTACACATAGGTCAGTTGAAGTGCTTTCCATATTCTTTTTGAAGTTTCTACCTCTCCCAACGGAACAGGCAAGTAACTACACTGCTGATATGACTGGCTAGAGAAGAACTGAAATACACTGAACAGGGAATTCAAAATCAAAAGGAGCATAGCAGTGTGTATGCATTAGACTAGATTATTCCTGCAGTGCTGGAGCATCTTAGAGAAGACCAACATCTTACTTTATCTCAGAAAGATTTTCAGATCTGCTTTTGTGTCTTCAATGCTAATTAAAGCATAACACTTCAAGCTT